TGGAAAGTGTTTTCTGGTCTCCAGTCAGGAGCCCACTGGCAGCTTCCTACACGGGGTCTGACCATCTTCAGGTGTTTTCTGTTAAGGCTAGGCTTTGTCGCCTCTGGCTGTTCCCATGGTTTGTGCTTGAAGAGATTTCCAGAAGGTGCTGTCCTGGGTCCACACAGCGGGCCTCCCTGGGAGCCGGTTCTGGGGCGCCTGCCAGGGACTCTGGAGCTTGGAGGCCCGAAGCTGTGGGGCCTCGAGAAGCAACACCTGACTCAGGTGGATTCGCTCTTGGGTACTTTTCCCACGGGGACAGTGAAGAGCCCTGCAGGGTGAGGAGGAGCCACTCTTTGCATTTGCTGAACAAGCCAGTTGCTGCAAACAGGAGCTCACCCTGCCTGTCTGCCTCGCACACCTGCATGTGTCAGCTTAGAAGCCACTGTCTGGGGAGCCTCTCAACTTCGTGTAAAAGCTGACGGCATCCTGTGTCTGCTCCTGCGAGTGCCCATCACCTGGCTGATGCACTTACTTACCTGGCTCCTTTGTTAGACTCAGGTTTGCAGGCTGAGACTGGGTTTGCATGTCACTGAATCCCCATTGCCCAGTGGTGCCTGGTACATAATGCATAACCCTTAAATATTTCATCCATGCTGTGAATGAATGGCTCCGTATTGCATTGTTTGCGCATTTATTGAGAACTCTCATACCATGCACTAAACTGTGTCACTTAATAAATGCAGTGGAAACCCAAAAGTGTCAGAAAAAGGGGGCTAGAGAGAAATCTTGACTCTGGTGCCCTTGTGGGTTATAACCTGTCCTAAAAGTGTGAGTGTGTATAGTTGGGAGTCTACCCTGTAAATGAGTTTGTAGTGCCCATAGTTACCTCTTATGTGCGTTGTCAGGGCCAGTGAGCTTCATTCATTCCGCACACAGCCCGAAGCCGCTCTTTGCCTTCTGCCCCTCCGACTTTGCGGCCTCTCCTCCCTGCCATCGGTGTGTGCCTGGCACACTCCCCTCGCCACTTCTAATTCTGCTGTAGACCTCACTGTGGAGATGCCGACCCACCAAGTAAGACCTCTGCCCTCTAACACCTTACCTCCTGTGGCTTGTCTAGCAAACTTGACTGCACACATCTTAGGTCTTTCTAAGTGCTGCATGCCTTGACTTCAGGATTCTCCCTCAAAGGTGCCACTTTTCTAAATAAATCACTGTTTTTGTGCGACCTGCCTCTCTTCTCAAAGTCAAGTGCCAAAGAAGAAACCACAGGCCATTGCAGCGCCCATCTGATGGAGCCCTGTGTTTTCCCAGCGTGCTGGCTAAGCCCCGGCTGCCTGGCAGACATGCCCTGTGTAGCCCAGCTCTGCTGGTCCACGTGGGCACCAGGAGAGGCTCAGGGCGACACACCTCCCTGGGCTTGTGCCCAAGCAGCATCCTAGCCCCTGGGAGCCCTGTGAGAGCCAGGACAATATTGTGCTCATCCTGGTCGCCCTGCTGCCTAGCACAGCTTGTGACATAGAGAAGGGACTCAGTGTGTGTTTGTGGAATTCGCAAAAGGATGGAAGGAGGGAAGGAAGTGGGGAGAAAGGGGGAAGGAAGGGAGGGCAGGAGGAGCAGGACTGAAAATGAGAGATGAGATTCCCTTCCAGGGTGGGAGGCAGGCTTTACTGAAAGGGTCTGTTGCTCCTCGGTATGTGCGATTCCCGCCCAGGGAGTATCCCATGAGATAGGAGAATCCGATACTGAAATATGAAATTAATACTCTTCATGTTGAGAGCTTCCAATAAGGTGAGAAAGAACATGAGGAGGGTTATGTAACAGGAAACACCTCGGACTCACCTTAGGACGAGAGCTGTAAGGGGGAAGCGCAGCTTTCTGCGAGATCCAGGGTCCTGAGCAGCTGCGGCTGCTTCGTGTGGACAGGCGCTGTTTTCCCTTTGAAACTCAGACCGTATGGATTCGCGTGTCTCTCATCTTCTCTCCATCTTTTCTCTCCTGCCCCTAAAATGGTCTCGTCTGTGTTACTGGGGTTTAGCAGTGTAAAAACGTTTTTGTTGGTTTGTCTCCTGTGCCTCTCCCACATTAACACTGTTCGGCGTTGGTTCTAGAGCAGATGTTAAATCAGTTTAATCTCACATGTAGAACATTGACTGGCTGTGGCTCACTGGAGGGTTAAGAAGGATTCTGAAGCTGTATCTATGTTAAAAGGGGGCCATTGTCATGGAAAGAGGTGGAGAGGGTTGGGGAGTAGCAATGTGCATGCCACGCGTTTGCCATCCCTGGTCAGGGGAAAGCACATGATGAGAGTGGGAAGTGGCATCCTTCAGGTTTTGATCTGAATGAGAGTCAACCAAAGTTGTTTTAATATTTCATTCGGAGCCTGAGACGATTGGTTTTCAGCTTACGTTCTGCAGTGGTTTGAATGCAGTGTCTTTGCAACCGGAGAGAGAGAGAGTTGACTTGCATAACAGTGTTTAAACCTTTCCTCTAACCTTTAATATCTGATATCTGATTTGTAATTGGATTTCAGGATCATGGAGAGGGGCAGGAAAAGAGACTATTTAAAAAGTGCCGGTAGGATATTTTCCATGGTTATTTCAGAAACAATTTAAGCTTGTGGAAGTTGAGCCACAATGAGAAACTCCTCAGCATGTAAATTGCTGTCCAGATTGGTAGCCTGGAATATAGACTCGTAGGCTGGGAATCAGTGTGTGCCGCGGAGAGGCCGGTCGCTGTGACTTGCCACTAGCCAGGTTTAATGGCCGGCATTTGTACAAATGCACATAGCACCTGTCATCAAGGGAGAGCACACCTGGTCATCTTGTTTGAGGCATCCTTTCCCAGATGGAGAAACTGAGGCTTGGCTATTGATTTTACCATCCAAACTGCAATGGGTGAGCTAGTGACTTGGCCTATAGGCCACATAGCCGGGCGTGTTGGTCAGGAAATATTCCGAGTACTTTCCAGATGTCAGCAATAGATAATGCAGATGTAGTGGTGAGAAGACCTTTGAGCCCCCATGCTGGTTGGGAGGAAATAGGCAAAAGCACCCCAACAAGTAAATGCTTTAAGATACCAGCAAGTGCACTGGAAAAAATAAGACATGGCAACCAGGGACGCTGCTTGGAGACAGCATTTGCATTTAGACTGAGTGATGTGGTGAGTCAGAGTCGGTGTTGAAAGATCTTGGGGAAGACGTTTCCAAGCCAGAGAAACGAGAAAGCGAACATGTCTGAGAGATGAGGGAAGGCCAGTGGAATTGGAGCAGAGGAAGTGTCCTGTCCATCAGCCCTGAAATTTGCGTATTGTTGTTGGTGGGGGTGGCTTCTGTAAGCCTTTAAGACTTTCATTGCACTTCCTGCAGTTGCTCTTAAGTAAATCATTGCATTTGGTTGGCTAGTGCTCTGTGAGTTGTTCAGAGAGATTACGAAGAATTTTGTAAATTAAGGTGAAACTTATCATGGGCAGAACGCCTTCTGAGGCAGGTGTGTGGTCCAGGTGGGGCCCCTTTCTGCTCCAGAGAGCCCAGGCAGGTGGGTGGGGGTTGGGGGCACAGTGACCAGCAACCATAGCAGATTAGCTGGGTAAAGGGGGAGCATGGTGACACCATCAACAGCTGGCCTACTCCTAACCAACCTCGCTGAGCTCCCCTGCTTCCTCCCGTGTGCTCATGAGTCCAGCCTTGGCTGCCTGCTTGCTGTGACCATGAACACTTCAGAAGCCACTTGTCACAAAAGGGGAACACCTCCCCGGTAAACCTGCATCCACTTCCGAATCCTCTCATCGCAGTTGCTGGCTGCGATCTGGGCTCTGGCCCCTGGACTGGAAACTGGCGGGCTGTGTCCACCACGCCCTCTCTGTCCCCATGGTGCCTTTGCCTCTGCTGGCCTGCCTGCCCCTTTTGTCTCCGGCTCCCTCCCCTGGCAAAGCTTAACCAGCCCCTCCTCCAGGAAGCCTTCTCTGACCTCTGCTGGGCCGGGTTCCTCTCTGAGTCTTGGCCTGTCCCCTTGGCACACTGCACATCATATTTTGGTCTGACTGTGGCCTCCAAAGGGCCTTGAGCTCCTAGTGGGCGGGGAACATGTCAGAGTTGTCGTGGACCCCTGGCTGCCAGCACACAGTAGGGCCTGATCCATGTGCGGTACACCAGTGGACAGCTGATGCTAGCTCTTGGCTGGTTATCATCAGAGGGCTATTGGGGAAGATGACACTGAACATGGGCAACTGTTTCCTTTTCTGCATTCCTCTGAATTTATCCAGGTTCCTTATATGAAGCAGCTACCAGTTGCTTTTAGAAGTTTTTTTGTGGTGAAATATACATAACAAAATATACTCTAACTTTAACCATTTATAAGTGGCATGAAGGACATTCACATTGTTGTGCTTCTGCCACCACCATCCATCTCCAGACCTGTGTCATCGTCCCTAACTGAAACTCTGTCCCCATTCAACACTCACTCCCCTTCCCCTCCCCCAGTGCCTGGGAACCACCATCCTACCCCCTGTCTCTGTGAATTTAACTGCTCTAGGGACCCCACAGACGCGGAATCATACAGTATTGGTCCTTTTGTGTCTCGCTCATTCCATTTCATAGTGTCCTCAAGGTCCGTCCATGTTGTAGCACATGCCCGAGTTTCCTTCTTTTTAAAGCTGAGTAATATTCCATTGTGTGTGTACCGTGAGGGACATTTTAGTTGTTTGCACCTGTTGGCTATTGTGAACAGCACTCCTACGAATTCAGGTTTGCAGATACCTGTTCGAGTCCATGTTTTCAACTCTTCTGGGTATTTGCCCAGAAGCGGAATCGCTGGGTCCTATGGTAAAATCACTTTTACAATTTAGAAGCATTTTAAATAGTCCTGAAATGGTCATTTCATTTTAAACCCAAGTTCACCTTAAGATGGGAGGTGACACAGAAATGCAGGCTGAAATCTCAGAGTTTTGTCCTTGCGACTTACGTGATGCTTGGTGACATGAAATGGTTTGTTTTCAAGTGTGGTTTTAATTTTTTCTTCCAGCATCAAGCTTCTCGCTGTGCAAGAACTCCTCGACAGAGAGGCCCTGGAAAAGGTAAGTGTTCTGTCCTACGCCCCACTCACAAACACAGAGCTGAGAGGCACACACCGGAAAAATTCAACTCCCTGCTGTGTGCTTTATTATCTGGGCTAATGGATGATAGAATTGAGGCTCACAAGGTGACTTAACGGAAATGAACTAAAGGGCAGAGGAAGGAATCAAACCCCATGGTTCCACTTGGAAAGTTAATGCTTTTCCTAATTCAGAGACGAGTTCTCAAGTTCGAGACCCTTTTTAGGCTACGTCTGAGGACTGGGAAACTCCCTCCCCACCTCAAACGGAGGTTGTCACTATGCTCTGGAAGAGATACATGGCGTATCTCAGCTTTCTAGGTTCAAGTCAAGATACAGCTGAGATCTTTGGCTGGTTGGGGATTCAAGTTCTGTGTGGGAGGTGGGGTGGGCCCTCAAAAGCAGGCTGAGCTGGTTCCAAGGAGTCCAGGCTCCCTAGTGCCATGCATGGACCCCCCAGCTCATACCCAGCTTCTCTCCTGGGGGGCTCAGGAGTCTTCCCAAGTGTGTTAGAATCTGTTAATATAAAAGAATGTTAATATAAAAGAATGTGCTTAGAGAGATAAGCACTGAAGCAATATTATGTTATTTAGAATTTAAAATGTCTGGATTCTAGTCGGACTGCTGGTTGGCACTGAGGCAATTTAAGCTTTTAAGCACCAAGCGGTGATGTGAGGGGCGAAGGGGTCTGGGCTCGGGCTGTGAATTTCACATCCCATCAGCCTCCTCTCATCACGGGTGAAACCAGGAGGGTGCTGCCCGCCCGAGCTCACGGAGGCNTGAATTTCACATCCCATCAGCCTCCTCTCATCACGGGTGAAACCAGGAGGGTGCTGCCCACCCGAGCTCACGGAGGTGACACCACAGCCAAATGAGTTAGTGTAGCGGAAGGGCTTTCTAACTGCCAGCGCACTCAAGCCACATTAATTCTTAATTACTGATATTAATTCTTAATGCGCACCCAGCCGTTAAAATGCACCAGGCCCAGGAGAGCATGAAGATTCTCTGTGTGGGCTTGAAACTTTTAAAAAGTTACCTCTCCTGACACAATTCTCAGTATTCACTCCAGTTCTTCGTTTTACTTCTCAGTTCAAAAACAACATCAGCCCTGGCAGGTTTGGCTCAGTGGTTAGAGCATGGGACCTCGGACTGAAGGGTCCTGGGTTTGACTCCCGGTCAAGGGCACGTGCCTCGGTTGCAGGCTCCATCTCAGTCCAGTGCATGCGGGAGGCAGCCGATTGATGTGTCTCTCTCACATCGAGGTTTCTCTCTCTCTCTCTCCCACCCCCTCCCTTCCACTCTCTCTCTAAAAAAATCCTTAGGTGAGAATCAAAAAAACAATAAAAACACACAAAACATCAGACCAAGCCTGCCTAAGGGGTGTGCTAAGGGGTATCAGTATAATAAAAACACAGGCGCCGATATATCAGTGAGGGCTCCGACCTGGAGGGGCCGCCCCGTGCCGCCCACCTGCGGGTGCCGACTGCTGCGGGATCGGCAGAGAGCGGGGCTGCGGCGGACTGGGGCGCGGCGCGCAGTGTGGCTCAGACGGCCCCCCTCCTCGCTGCGTTATTTTGGGTTGCTAACCCTCTCTGTGCTTCAGTTCCCCGGACTGTAGAGTGGAAATCTTTATACTCCCCAGGCCACAGAGGCTTCGAGAAGGTTAAGTAGCCCGTCCGTGGAAAAGACTTCGCCCCGCGTCTGGCGCTGACCGCTCCCCCGGGTTCGCTGCTGCACCTGTCACTTCTCCTTCCTCCTCTGCCCCCGCTTCCTCAGCGAGCCTGGCCGTGGGTTCCCGCTGCTCCCCGTCTCCATACGTGCCCGGGAGCCAGCTTTACAAGACGGCCTCAGTAGGCACGGGGGCCAGCCGGGGGCCACAGCTTCCTTCTTCCTTCTTTCCTTTGTGCTTTAATTCAGTCACTCACTTTGCACATGCCAGGCAAGCAGCAAACACTCCAGAAAAGTCCAGAAGCAGCCCGTTGACATGTGCTTGGTAGCCAGTTGCATTTTGAACGACACATGGCATATTACCTGGCATGGTACTGTTGTTTGCACCAGTTTATAAAGAGCCCGTGACTTGCAGATTCTCATTCACGGGACATGTGAGAGAACCAGCATAAAAAACTTCCCGGTAAATCGTAGGCCTTTGACCTTTGCCGCTCGGAGCATGGTCTGCAGATAAGCAGCAATGGAAGCTGGTTAGAAATGCAGACTCTCGGGTCCCGCCCAGACCCCCGGCTCAGTCTGCATCCCAACAATACCCCAGCGATTCATGAGCACCAAAGTCCACACAGCTCTCCTGAGGGGCATCATTTATTATCATCAGTACTACTGTTGACCAGCCCATCTTCAGAGAGCACCTGAGGCGTAGCAGCTTTTTGCTTTTGTGGCCAATTAAGTTCCTTTTTTTTTGCATCAAAAGAGAAGTAAACACCATCATTCTATTTGTAAGAACCCAGTTCTTATCCTTGGTTTGCCTGCCTCTTCCTTCCATTAAGAAAACATTCTTATTTAATTGACTAGGCAGAGCCAGTAAGAAAGGCCTCCATTAGACACGTATCCTGCAAACCTCAGACCTCTCTGACCGTCTCTTCAGCTGGGCTGGAAATCGCAACATGCCTCTGGGTCTGGCAGTTACTGAACTGCTGAGGTGCCACCTGGTGGAAATGGTCACGTCCAGACGGACAGTCCCACAGTGGGGACCTGCACACACCTTTCTCTTGTGAGATGGAAGTTATGGCTCATTCCCCTCACAGGTGCAATCGCAGGTTAATCTGACCAGTAAAATTTTCAAAGGATGGGAAATGTAATGGAAAAAGCTAAAAGGAGGCAGCAGTGTTTGGGGGTCCCCTAGACAGTTAGACATCTCGTGCCTTTTCTCCCCAAAGTTAGGCTTGTTGTAGTGATCCTGGAGCTTCAGTTTAAAATGACCAGCCACTTGCCTGACTTGCAGTCTCCCTGGGTTTAGGTCAAGCGAGAGCCTGTCTGTTTCTGGAATGGACTTTCCTGGCTTCCACAGCACAGGCCCAGCTGTGGGGAGGCTCTATCATAGGAGAGTGTGGTTGTCCCCCACCCCCCGTTTCAGCCTCACCTCTGTTAGGCCCTTGGGCTATGAGGACCTTTCTCGGAGGCCCGGGTCCCCTTCTTCATCCAGAGAACTGCTCTCTGTGGTCCCTGCCTGCTAACAGTCTTGGGGTTCATTTCCACAGTTGACCCTGACTGCATTGTGAAGAGGGGGAAATTCTCCTTTTCATACTCTGTTTTCTAACATTTTCTCTCCTCCTTGCTCCAGGGGTCCTCGCTGGGTTTCAGGGCCTGTGTCTCATCTGCCCTATTAATATCAACACACGCTTCCTGGGGAGAGCTAAATGGTGACCCCCCCCCCCATAGATCAGTAGGGTTCCAGTTTTTACTTCTTCAAATGTTCTTTGTCTTAATTTGGGTACAATAGATTTGGGGACACTTGGGATGTCAGGTCTCTGAATTTCTCTTCTCCATTAACACTACATAAAGCTATTTCCTAGACAAGTGGCAGTGATTTGTCATTTATTTTAAAAATAAGCTATAAAACCTACAGCTAATACTCTTAAATTTGTCTACCAATTTCTTGTTTTTAAAAAAACACTCTGTTAGACTCTTTTAAAAAAAACACTTTTAGAAGATGGTTTAATGTGCATAAATGTCAGGAGGATAGGGCATCCCTCTGAAAAAGCCTTCTGGACCTGAAGGCTTTTCTTGTCAAATGTCCCTCAGGTGTGGAGCAAGGACAGGCTTTGAGAAGGCAGCTGCCCTTCGACCCCTCTGATGTAAGAGTAGGGAGAGCGCTTTTGTTTTTCTGAACTTGAGTCCCGCAGACTTGTTTCCCAGGCTTTAGGAACAGGCCCACCTAATGCCTTTCAAATGTGGCATTGCATGAAAGGAAATAAAAATATTGGTACAGCTTGATTTAGTAAGCTCGGTTTTCAACGACCCTTTCAAACGGCTTCCTGCAGAGCTGCAAACAATAGTTTGGCCCTGGACTCCAGCTGAAGGTCACCGTCCCCCTGGAGGGCCAGAGGGCAGAGCGCTGGTTGACCCAACCCTAGACCTGCCCAACTCATGGCCACTGCCGGTGCCACCCCACCCCCACCCCCGGCCTCCCTGGCCTCTGCGAGCCACAGCTGGGCTATCGGTCAAAGCTGACTGTATTCATGCTCATCCCCTAGGACCCGGGCTCTGAGGGCACACAGACTGGGGCTGTGGCCACTCTGCGGCCTCCTAGCTGTGTGATAGGCCTCAGTTTCTTCTTAGCATTGGGGTGTGTGTGTCACAATGATACTGACTTCATGGGGATTTTTCATGAAAATTAAGTGAGGTGACGTATAAGATAAAGGGATTTTGTGTATGGTAAGCACCAGAGCAATGGTAGCTAATTCTATTTCTACTGCTGCTAATCACCTGCTCCTATGGTCATCATCATCATTGACATCTTATATCATCAGTCATCATCATCATCATCATTATCATCATCATTATTGATAACTTTCTTCTCCTCTCTTGAGAAGCCCAACTTGAGATTGATTTGCTGTCATTAGCAGATGTTAGAAAAGGAGCCTCCCCACCCTGCCCCTTTGCCAGATTGTCTAGGACAATCTTTCATGCCTGCTGCCGCCAGATGTTTCTCCCAGACTTTCAGCTTCAAAGTCTGTTTCTTAGTCCAGTGTCTGTACAGGTGGAGCAGGTGATCGCTGAGTCTTCGGGTGCTTCATGTGNAAGGCAGTTTCTTAGTCCAGTGTCTGTACAGGTGGAGCAGGTGATCGCTGAGTCTTCGGGTGCTTCATGTGTGAGATAAAGTATGTGTGGTTTCACCAGCGAGCCTGGGACTGGACAAACTGAACTTGGTATTTGCACCTAGTAGCTAGTCAGAGACTCTTCTAGCTGAACCCTCGTGGTGGGCGACAGTAGAGTTAGAAGTTAATAGCTTTGGAGTTTTTCAGAAGGAAA